AGAAGAAGAAGAAAAAAAAAAATTGACAGATGATGTTTCAGACACCCCCCCCCCCCCCCCCTCCCTGCAAAACAAAAAACATGCTGCAGCTTAACAGTCCAAAACACAACGTTGTTCTGGTGTCCGTGAATTAAAGCGTTTAGAGCAACATGCAGGCCAGACTCAGGCCCGCGTGCCCCATCCGTCCGCCAGCCTGCCTGCAATAAATTAATAACAACCAAACAATGTGTCGCGGAGAGGCGGATTCAATTACTAAGTTTATTTACAGGGGGAAATCTCATGAAGGCCATTGACCAACGTTAAACAGCGCGGGATGAAACGATGACAAGAGCTCCGATAAGAATTTAATTCCATCTCATTTCAGACGATTTTATGAATCAAATTCTTGAACGCTGGCAAGAGATTTAATGATCACATCTTGGCGAAATCTTATTTCAGAAGCGGTCGATGGCATTTCTCTGCGTTAATGTCGACTTAGAGGTTGGAGTAATTTAGTAATTGATTCCTTGCCTGGCTCTCGCTCGTGCCAAGGCCGCATTTGAGGGTAATACGTTTCCTAATCTTATCCCACGGAATAAGATTTTTATGTTAATCCACTGGCTCGGTATCTTGGTCACTTGGGAAGCGCAGATAAAGGCTCAGAGGGGCCGGAGAGGCCATGCAGAGACGAGCCGTGCTCTGCAGGAGCTGGCTGCAGCATCTGGGAAAGAACGAGACGAATTAATGGGAGACAACAGAGAAACATCACACAGAAGAAGCCGGAGTCCATGAGAATAACCTATTTACCCTTTTCCTCGTGTGGAATCCGTACATTTATCATTTATGTTTCCATATAGGCTAAATAATATTGATAAGGGTCATACATCTGATCTTAATTTTAATTTCATTGTGATGCTTGAGCAATTATAATAAACCATAAAGATGCATAAACTCTATTTCCTGCAATAATCAGGATAAAATGGCATCAGGTTGGATCATCCTCTCCGTCATCCTTTGACTCGGAGGCGGACACTGCACTCAGATGTGCGCCAAAGACGAGATAAAGAAGCATGAGGTGAAAAGACGTAAAAAAAACAAAAAAACGTCGAATAACAATAACAACCACACGAGCCTGCACGCAGCAGACTGAGACACTGACGTCTTTTGTGGCGCACGTTTCTTTCTTTTTTCAACTGGAGACACAGAGAGAAGACACCAGCTTCTAACTTAATTTTGCCTCTTCTCCAGATGTCACTTTCCATCTGTGCGCTTGGAAACGCGATGCGCTTTTTACGCACCAGCCTGGAACAGCTTTAACTTAGATGTTTGACTTCCCCCCTCTTTGTTGCATCAAACTCTTTTGTCGTGCACAGTTTCACATCTAACAACTGAGTGAAATAATAAAGACATAAAATATTATAATTTATTATAGGATATTATAATTGTTTTGGATAATAACGATAATTTTTGTGGAACAGTGAAGTGGTTGTCGGCTCGGGTAGTTTTTATCTCACAGTTTTCTTTCCTGCATTTTGCAGGTGAAGGCTCGCCTTTATCCATCCTGTCAAATTGAGACATCACACTAAATTGCCACGAGAGCATCCCCAAAATGAATTTTGTATCTGCTCTCGAGCCCCTCCCCTGCAACACGCGGCCTTATTAATAACCGTTTTGATAAGCGTAGGATTTCCTCGGGCGGAGGAGTGAGACGTTGTAGGTGAAATGTGACAGCGGGACCCTCCCATCGCGCTCCCTCGCTCTTTATCCTCCTCTGTTTCTTTGCCTTTTTCGGGGGAGTGGATCCATCCAATCCATCCAGAGACAATGGCATTTTGTTCCTCTTTTTGTCCCTCCTGTCGACCCGCATTCCTATATTGCTGAGCAACGATAGTGCGCACTAAATGGAGAGGAGTTGCTCCTATATCCCGCCTATTGTCCGGCACTTGCCAGGGGGATTTAGGGTCTTGCACACATCGCATTTTCCTGATTTATTTAAGTGAAGGCTTATGGTTGGAGCCTTTATTTGCCACATAATTACGAATTAACTACCGCTTTATTTGAATTAAAGGACCATCATGTTACTGTAAATCACGGTTTGCACGCACTGCTGCAGGTTGGAAACGACGCTGAATACAACCTGCAGCCACCAGGCCCCTCTGCAGGATTATGTCCTGCAGAGGGGCCTGGACGTTTTGCATCTTGCAAAAACTACTAATAATAACAAATACATTAACTGAACTCAGACTGCAGAGTTCCGCCTTTTCGGGTTTAATATCCTCACATCAAAGTATCAAGCAGTGTCTCCTCGTCGCACCCGCAACAGCTGAAAGGATTAAAAGATGTTGAAACTATAAAAGAGGAGGCGTTCCAATAGCGGGTGGACTATGGTGTAAGGACTATAGACTGCGAGAATAAAGAGCGGCTTCAGTGAAAGACACCGATGGCTAAAAGCTATAATTGTATTTGCCTCGGCGAAATATCAGAAAAGACTTCTCGTTTCTTTGAGCGTTATTAGATTAATTCCCAGAGATGGTTTCTTTTCTCGCGGCCAGACGCGTGGAGGGAGGACGGTGAACCATTTGGCTCTTTGGTTTCAATAATCAAATTAACCATTTGGTACAACGTTTGGGTCCCAGCTCGTGTGTAGAAAAGAGAAAATACAAAAAAAGAAAACATTTACATAATAGGCACCGGGTTGTGTCAAGAAAGAATTAACTTTTTTTTTTTTTTTTTTCTTTCTTTCTCTCGTTGATCTCTGAAAAGACAATGTACACACGAAAGAAAAGGGAGAAACACTGCAACACGTCAGCAATTGTGGAGAAAAATAATTGATGCGAGCGGGTGTATTTTAACAGATAATACGGGAGCTGCACCGTGCAGAAAATGTTCAATTCAGAAATATAAGATTTAAATCGCCCTTTTCTATTTTTTATTCCAGAAAGAAGTGAATAGTTCATCAAACGGCAGCACGTGTGTATATGAAAGCACTTGAAAAAGATTTCTTAAACGGAGATGAAAAGATGATTTGTGCCTCAACACATTTTAAAACTTAATTTTAGACCAGTGACCTCAGACAATGACCTGTGTGGTTTAGATGGCCTCTTATTTATTTATTTATTTTCTCCTTGTCGTCCCAATTTCAACAAATAAATGTATTTAATATCTTCTCAGCCTTCTTTGATTAAGATGAAGAAATATGATCAATATTGTGAAGGACAAAATCAAATCAAAAGAAGAAAAAAAAGATCTATAATAATTCTATAATACAAATTAACAGGTTGTGAGAGAAACGTGTATAATATCCAACATGATGATAAAATACTGATAGAGGCTCATATGGAGCATCGTAGACCCACTCAGGATTATTATATAGGAACCATAGTGATGTTTCAGTGTAAGACCATCAGCACACAGATCAATCACTGAGACACTGGTGAACAAACTCAAACTGATAAATTTAATTGCTGCCCCATAATTCCTGTTGCGCCTTTGTGTTTCGATCATTTGTAAGAAAAAAAACCTCGCATCTTCAAACGAAACGAGGACTTGAAGTCGGTCCAATGAAAAAAAACAGAAAGAAAAAAGAAACACACACGAGTGTGTAAGCGCCATAGAAAACTGTTCACCTTATTACACAAACCAAATTAACCACTCAGCCAATATTGTGAGCCTAAGAGGTCCGATGACTGCCTCGCCAGTTCGTTACTTTCATTAGAAAGATGTTATTTGCCAAATAAACGGAATAATGAAAGTAATAAAGACAATTACAAACTCGTTTGAATCATAAAAAAACACCCGGAAGTTAAGCAGAGATTCTACTGCAGCAGCGCAGAGGAAAAACGGGGTGTTTATTTGTCAAAAAAGGCTTTATTAAAGCGAAGATGGTTCGTTTATCACGGAGTAATTTGTAATATGTTGAGACAATTACTGACTTTCATTGATTGATTTCAGACTTGATTTAAAAGTATGAATTACTAATTAAAGACACTGAGAAATGTCAGACTCGTGCAATGTAATGTGATATAAAGAGAGAAAACAAAACAAAGGGGATGTTGAAGTCTACAGCTCTGTTGTTATGGATGTGATTGATGCACATACAGCGTGGGAAGAAATTCACCTGAAGAAGCCTTTTTTTATTCACTGTAGCGACATTAAAAAAGTGTTTTCCTCTAAAAAGAAAATGTGAAAATCGGATGATTTGTTTCGGAGCACATCTGCTTGCTTCAGCAGTTCTCTCGCAGTCAGTGAGCTGAAACAAAGCAGAATAATTCGGCCCATATATGGTGCAACAACTTAATTGAAACCAAGGGACTTCACCTCAGTTGCAGATTTTCATTTGTCCAAAAAAAAAGGGGAGATTTTGAACCATAAAAAATATTCGTCAAGCCTAAGCGACGAAATCGGCTGTTAAACCCGTGAAAAGGAACATGTTTTTGGAGCCTCCGTGCAGAAGATAAAGAGTCAGAGAGCCAACAGACGGGCAGGGAGAAGAGGCAGAGGGGGAATACTATGTGAAATCCTGCCCAAGGTATACGCTCGCTTAAAAGGCTTAAAAGCTTGGAGAAAATTGGATCAGGGAGAATCGTCACCCAACTTTCATTATTTCCAAGTGGTGTGATTGAATTAAAGGGCAAGATGGTGGTTGGAGAGGAGTGGGGGTGGATGGGTAGAGGGGTGGTGGGGGCGGCGGCGGCGGTGGAGGGGTGCGTAATGGCGTGGTATTAAATTCTAATTAGAGATGCAGGGGATCAATGATAGGGAGGTTGGACAGCCCGGGCCCCCAGTGCCAGCCCAATAGACTGATGAGTTATTGTCATGTAAAAAAGCGCTAGCAATAAGACCAAACGCTTTGCTATTGTCCAAGCGGAAAGAGCCAAGTTTATTATGAGGACTATATGCTCTAGAGACCTCGGGCTAGGCGGCTCTTAGGGGGCTTTTCATAAAACAGGGCTAGGTTCCTATAAAGGAGGCCAGTTTTGGAGCAGGCGCTGAGCAGTGAACATCTACCCACCGTCCAGCCTCCTTCCAACCAGTTCAAACCAAACAAGTCATCTTTCCCCCCCAACTCAGACCGCGCGTCCTCCTCATTTTTATTTCGATTATTTTTTTTATTTTTTACTTACTAACCCAATTTTTTTGGGGGGTAGTTTTTGTTTGACTTTTCTTTTTCCGGGAGGTGCAGCTTTCTAACTCCACCGAGCTTTCTCAAATGTATAAAATGGAGTATTCTTACCTAAATTCCTCTGCCTACGAGTCATGTATGGCCGGGATGGACACGACGAGCTTGGCATCGGCCTATGCGGACTTCAGCTCGTGCAGTCAAGCCAGTGGGTTTCAGTACAATCCCATCAGGACCACTTTCGGGGCCACCTCCGGCTGTCCGTCCCTCACGCCGGGGTCTTGCAGCCTGGGGACCCTGCGGGACCACCAGAGCAGTCCGTACGCCGCAGGTAAGCAGCGGCTCCGGAGCCTCAACCCGCCGTAATATAGGACGCCTTGATTGCATTTGAAAATGGAAATGTGTTTAGTATTTACCAAACGAAATTTGCTTACACAAATGAAAGAATTTATCACGTTAGAAGCGATTGCAGGCAAGCGTAATTCGGTTACGGGGTTACACTATCCCAGTCACACCCAAAAACCGCCAACAGAATTATCTTAAGCTGCCAAAATGATAGGCATAATTTATTTACTTTGCGATGAGACATAAAGCTTCGAAAATAATTAGATAACCAAAGACTAAAGCTTATTATTGGCACCGAATTGGAGCTACAGTAGCAGCAAGCGGGGCGGATGGGAGCATTATGACAAGTTTTCAAACTTGAGCCTCAATGTGAGGAGCAACAATTAGTTTAACATCACAATTAACCGCATCACAGGTCAGCGACGTTATCAATTCAGAACTAATTCACAGGTATCAAAGGCATAATACAATTGAAAGCTTTCGCCCAGCGCTCACAACCGGATTTTATACAATATATCGAGTTTGAATTTACCTCCATTTGACAACATCACAATTACACACACTCATATGTCACGCTGCACGGATGAGACCACTGCACGTCTAACGGTTTTTATTTATTTCGTTTACAGTTCCCTACAAACTCTTCACGGATCACGGCGGACTGAACGAGAAGAGGAAGCAGAGGCGCATCCGGACCACGTTCACCAGCGCCCAGCTGAAGGAGCTGGAGCGGGTTTTTGCTGAAACGCACTACCCGGACATCTACACCAGAGAGGAGCTGGCACTCAAAATCGATCTGACTGAAGCCAGAGTGCAGGTACGGACGCCAGCCTGCTCCCATTATACGCGCGATTACGCACGCGTGGATTTATGATGCAAATAAGAAGCATTTTTAACACATCGCATCTAATTACTTACTTTTAATAGATTTTAGTGAAATAAGATATTTAATTATTATTTTGACATGATCAACTGACCTCCAACTGCTGGCACCATACACTCCTGCATTAATGCACACCATCACATGGGGGGTTTGTCTTTAGGGACACTTGAGACATTTAAACATCAAAACGCATTTATAAGCACAAATACTTAGAGTTCATTCCTCTAGATGTGCGCCGTATAGCCTTGTTATGTCTACTTCAAAACTGAGCGAATAACTATAGAGCAGTGATTCACTTTGTTTGGTCACAAACCAAGCCTTCATGGTTTAACTTTTGTACTTCGCTCTTTCTCGTTTTTCCAGGTGTGGTTCCAAAACCGTCGCGCCAAGTTTCGCAAACAGGAGCGGGCAGCTGCAGCGGCCGTAGCGGCTGCCAAGAACAATTCCGGAAAGAAGTGCGACCCCAGAGATGAAGACAGCAAAGACAACAAATCGACCGACCCCGACAGCACAGGAGGACCGGGCCCGAACCCCATCCCCACCTCCAACTGCGGAGGACCGAGCCCCACCGGAGGCCAGGTCAACACCACCGGGAACGGACAGGTGGACCAAGTGAAGAACTCCGTGTCCACCGGCATGGGGGTGACAGCGGCAAACCAGGGGTGGGCCACCGCCCCGGGGACCATCACCTCCATCCCGGACTCATTGGGCGGGCCGTTCGCCAGCGTACTGTCGTCTTTGCAAAGACAGAACGGAGCCAAAGCTACATTAGTAAAGACCAGCATGTTCTAATGAAGCTTCACATCGAAAGGGGGGAGAAACAGAGAAGCTCCCCCATCCTCCGGAGAGCGAAAAGCAATTGCCCACGACAGACTTAAGGACACTAAAAAGCAGTGAAAAAGAAGATGACAACTCTTGTTATTTTATTTTTATGCCTTGCGCCGTTTCTTGTGGTCAGTCGACACATTTGCTGTGAAAATATCCATCTTGACAAGTCATATTGTCTGCTAATAACATCGTTTTCGTTTCATTAAAACGAGTGCAAGTTGGGTGAAATGTTTCCACGTGTTTCATCTAAAGACTGAAATCCTGAAAAAAAGGCAGAAGGCGTATTAATATCAACAAAATGAGACTTCTGCTGAGATTCTTCACGCGTAAAACCAGAACAAGACAACATCAAAGCAAAAATGTTTAAGAATCAAAAGACACATTGAAAGGCTGAATCCTCGATGAAGTGACTTGTTAAGATGAACATTTTTTGGTTTTTTTTGGGCCAGGTTTATGAGCAAACAGACGTCCGCGCGCTGCTTCATGCCATCAGTGCGCAGAGGAGCCTCGTTAAGTCACATCACATGTCAGAGTTCAACAGCTGCTTTGTTTGGTAAAGAGACGTTTAACATCCACGGCTGAGGATGCGCTCACGCGACCTGCTTCTCTGATCTGTGCAGACACAATATGCTGTTTGGACAGCAGCCTCTTTACAGCTGTGTGTGTTTGTTTGTTTTTTTGTTTCCAGTGCTGCTGAGAGTTTAGTTTTTTTAAATTATCGATATAAACACAATTATTTCCTCGAGAAAAAAAAAGGCACAAACTACTGCAATGTTCACCTCAGACAGGAAATCTGTGTGTTTTGTGTGTCTTTCTACGGCAGTGTTTTTGTGGCTCAATCTGTATAGTGTTAATACGTATTATTGTCTCCTATAGTTGAACCATAGGCCATACTCCCTCGTAGATCGATCATACAAGTCTTTTTGATGTTTTACAAAAGTCCCTCGGAAGAATTTATTTTGGGTAAAAAAAAAGAAAAAAAAGGAGAGGGAATGGATGCAAACATTGTATTTATTTCTATATAATTTGCATGTTGTCTTTTTGTCTGATTTTACGATGATTTCTCTTCCATTTTGTGAGCATTATGTAACACGTTTTGTCCAGGATCTGAAAGTTATTTATATGTAGGTAATGAATGCTTATATTTAAGAAGGAAATATTTCTACATGTGCACATAGTTTTCCAGGTGTACCATTGAAATGGTTGTTGATGATAAAAAAAAAAATAATAATAGTCCAAGATGCTTTTGTCATGTTTTCTTTGGTGGGGAATGTTATTCGTTATTATATTATCCGTTTACGTAATCTTTAACTACACAAACCTGAAACAAGCTTCTTAATAATTACTCGGTCATAAATGAATAGAAGTTTATTTTCAGTCATGGTCGTTTGCACAGGCCGGAGATTTCAGCACCACGGACAGCTCAACAATTCACTGAGTATTCACTAACTTCTCCTAAACGGTGAAAACAGTCACCTTTAAATTAACATAATTTCACCCAGTTTAAATGCAAATATCCAAAATGTAGTGTGGAACCGAATTAAAAAAAAAACGCTGCATCGATGCAAGAAAATATAAATTTTAAAGCTCAACATTGCACTGACCTTTTTAAGGGGAATTTCTGAAGCAGGTGTTACACAAAAATCTGTGACCCATAACATTTTGTGCACAAATAATGACCAAACACTGACAGCTGTGACTCTTTACACCGACCTGAAAAACTGTCTGTCACAGCTATTTAAATGTGCGACACTATCTGTATCTCCACAGTCACAATTTATGAGAACTTGTGACACCAATGGAAATATTATGAATGCATATCTTTGGCAACAAGCTGAAGTTCCTAATCAGTTCACATATTTCGATGTAACACTTGTTCAGGTGCCTTACAACTAAACCCAACACTCAACCAGTCATTTCTACGGAGTCTAACCATATTCGGTCTTTAAATTAAACTAAATTAAGACGAATGATGAATCTAACGTTAATGGCAGAATTCAATAGTAATATCTATTTTCTCAGTTGCATCTGATTTTTTAGCCATGTCCTCTGACTTTGTATTTTCTTTGTTATATTGCTTACAAATTCATATAGTTTTTTTTTCCAAATCTCCCTCATCGAGAATTACCTGGTTAAAAAAGGTTAAATAATAAAATAAGTCAATGAACAAATAAACCACTTGGGCAGTGCTGCATTCAAAACTATTTGAAATGTAAAAAACTTTGACTGGACACCGGTTTCCAAATATATACTTGATATTTAGGTTCTTCTTTTACACATTGGTTATTAACAGAAGACGCCATGTGCAGTATCAAGTATTTATTCACCGTTTCCTCTGCGAGTTTATGACTTTTCTTCTTTTTGGGGGGGGGGGATTATTGGAAAAATAACAGACAGAATCACAGATTTAATTTATAACATTTTATTTATAAACATACAGTTTGCTATAAATGCCATTGCATTTAAACATCAAATGAATCTATATTTCGGATAGTGTTCAGGTGAATATTACAATAAATACAGAACAGACGTGAAGGCTCCATTCCCCAACCATCCTGTTAAGACGACCTTCTGAATATAGAGCTCCGCCTCAAAGATCCCGCTATAAGAGACTCGAGATTTATTCATGAACTAAATGAGGATAAAAAAAAAAAAAAATACACAACCAGAACAGAAGCTTAAAAATACTGTAGATCAGAGAGATGGACCCGGAGGAGAAGCTTGGCTATAGGACGCCGTTCAGGAGGAGGAGGCTGCTAGTTTGCTTTCATACAGCAAATCATTTGGTTTTAGGCTTAAACGTGCATTTTTCTTTTTTAACATCCGCAATACACAACCGAGCTCCTCTCATACAAGTCCAAAAAAATGAAGCAAGTGATTTCAAATGTCCACCATGGCGGCACAGATCTTTAGTTTTCATCCAACCAAATATTGCACGGGTGCAACTGCTGCTGGTACGAGTGTTCATATCACCTCTGCTGTTCAACTAGATGCAACGTTGTGTTTTTGTAATTGTATAAATGAATCCTACCACTGAGCAATTATCAAAATTACCTCAATTAATAGCATACAGAAGTCTATATCTCTCTAGAATAAAACATTCAGAAATAAGTCAATGGTATCCCCTGCAGTATATATTTTTAACAAATGTGTTCCTTTGCACTGCTTTTTATCACTGCAAATCACGGAGGGGTCGAGGGGGGGGTAAAATGAAGGGTGTTTATGTAAAATAAGCAGTATTTATCAAGTGAAGTAAAGCGTGATGCAAGGGAGAGATGCAGCCCGTCTGTCTGCAGTTTAAGGTTCAAATTTGGCCAAATCCCTCCCTCCACCCTTAAAAAAGAAAAGAAAAAAGAAATCAAACACCATACAGCTGGTGCGTTTCTTCCTGCATCACCTTGCTTTTCCTAAGGCACATTAAAGTCCTGACTTTCCGAGCCGACCTGCTGTGACCCAAAAGCACAAAAACAGCTCACGAGTCGAGTTATTGCCCTGAAGATGAAACTACATCTTTAATATGTGGGTTTTGTATCAGAAGCTAATTTTGTTCAGGAGCACAGAACAGGAGACATTAGGGGCCACTGTGAGGGCCAAAGGATCAAAGTAGTGGGTTTATAGTGACCTTTACTGTACTTTCTAAATGAAGTTTCTCTATATATTGTTGTTTTAAAATTAAAGGGTCATAAAATTATTAATATTTTACAGATCCCGTCTGTTTGGAGAAATAAAAAAAAAATGCAAATTGAGCTGCCTGACCACACATTCAGTTTTCCCACCAGTTTTTGGATTTCTATCCAAATTAAGAAAATCTTTCTTAAATGATAACACAATGATTCAGTAACTAATATACTGCATTTACATCATATGGAATTGAATAGTTTTTTCCAATCAGGAAAATAGAATCTGCTTCAACGTAACCAACGACTTGAACACCATATTTTCTCTTTGTGTGTTCACTCTGACAGTGTAGGACGTTAACATCAGCCTACCTGTGTTTGAAGCATGGTTATTGCTATCACTATTGCCTTTTATTTTCAACATGGCCGCCACCCCAGAACAGTCTCTCTCTCCCTCTCTTGCTGCATGATGGAACAGAGTCTGTGGTGGTACGTGGACCAATCAAATCCAGATTTCACTCACATATCAGATGACATAAAACACGTAGAATATATATATATATATTTTTTAAACGTTTGACTGTCCCCAGATCCCCCGTTTGGCCCCCGTGATGAATCTTCATTGGTTACTGAGCTGCAGAGGATGCAAAGATCCCAACACGCTGTGAAGGACATGATGTGCAGATAATCGCTTTAGAACAGGGATGGGGTTTCTTCCGGTGAACCTTGTGCTTTTCTGTTGAGCGTCACAATGTGGTTGGCTGTCCGGCCGCTTGAAAGGAAAAAGAAAGACAGAAAAGGAAGCCCACAATTTTTATAAACCAAAATTGTTTTAGGGGTTTGTAGAAGGCCAAGGACATGCAGCTCTAATGAAAGAAAAGCTCTCTAATAATGACTTTGGAGTCTTTTGATTGAGTCTCTGATTTGATTTTGTGGTTGATCCCCAAATGATAACAGCTGCTGAGAGGTTATGTAAATGTGAGCTTGAACTTCTGCTCTCGTGCAGACAAGGAGAAAGGGACGGAAAGTTACCGTCATCCTCTCCCAGCTAATACATGTTTCTCTTCCTCCTGATGCAGCTTCAGATCCACCGACCCATTGAGCCAAGCTTCACTGTGTCTGACACTTCCTTTATTAAAGCTGCACCGGGTCGGATTTCTATATTAAAGTACACTCGTCTTATCAGCCACACAGAGAGGCTGCAATAAAGAATGAAACCTTTGAAGTGCACCTTTCATTTTTTGATCATAAAACAGTGTCAGGTTTGCTTTGAAAATAATAAACCAAACAAAGCTTTGTCTATTTTTCTTTACCGGGTTTATGAGCACCGTATTTACTGCTGGTGCTATGACACCATCACCTTATTGAAATGATTCATCAGTGAAAAGATGAAATATGGCCGACATTACCAAACAATAAGGAACAACAACACCTTACCCTTTTTTGTAATATTGGAGAACAATTAAACTTTGTGTTTATGAGCGTTACGTAACGGGGAAGTTATCTTTTTATTCCTGGTGGTTGTGTTTTTAGATATTCAGACTGGTGGTTGATGTGCCTGGAACTCATTAATGATGTGGATGGATGGTTTGAAACATTGTTGTAGAAACAGCAGACAGAGAGAAAAGGGGTGAGACAAAAGAGGGAGAGTATCAGGGCAAAGCTTGTGTGAGAGCACAGAGGGAGGAGGGACTTACAGCGGGAGCGGATGTAGCACTGGTGGCAGTTGAGGAGGCCGTTTCTGATCCGGACGTCCGTCCCCGTAGTCGTGTCGCCTAACTGTCCCTTACACACACCGCACTGAAGAGAGACAGGGGGACTATTTTCAACTGCGGATTAATATACATTTGGTGCTCTTGTGAGTCTTTCTGGCAGCAGGACGTTGTATGAAGGACTGACTTGAAATAGCGCCGCTCATTGTAATGACGTAAACATGTCAGCCAGTGAAACAGTGTGGATCACCGATATGTTTGTGGTAGTTTTTGTACAACAACTGTAGATTTGAACACAATAATTGCTGCACAACATACACCAACACTACTGTTAAGGTACAGTAGCATTCATACTTGTAATAGATAATTAAATGAATAAAAAACTAAATAAATTCTGTCACCGACCTTGAAGCAGTGAATGTGGAAGTAAAGACTGAGGGTCTCTATGATCATGGCCGCCCCCTTCCCCAAAGGCTGCCCACAGCTGGAGCACAGCTTCTTCCCACTGACAGACCTGCAGGAGGGAGGGAGAGACAGAAAAGCCTGTGATACCAGAAGCACCTGTAGATGGTGTGAAGTACTGATTACTTAAAACAGTTAGGCTCCTTTGACAGTGAATATGAAAGAAAAGCACAATAAGCTGTTCATTTGTCAGTGTTTTGTTGAAACTGATGTAATGAATTGAATCCCAGCCACAGTTACTCTTCAAAACCCAAAGAACAGCAGAACCTCTTTACAGTAAACAACTACTCATCTTGAACTTAAGGTCAGATAGCATCCTCTGCAGTGGACTACAGTGAACAAAAATAGATTATTTTAAAAGAAAGTGTGGTGGTATACATATACTGTATATACATACATACATATATATGTATATTATATATAAATATATTCCATTCCTTGCCTACAATGTTTCAGGTCGCTCCTTCTGCTATTCTGTCTGACAGCTTGTTGTTCTTAGCTGTTTATGTTTCTATTGATCAAGGTCCTCGTGTTTAACGTTCACCAGACTCCGTCTACTTCACATGTTTTCTTGTGCCTTCTGTGTGTTATTTTCCCCACTCATTTGTAATGAAAAATGTATTTCACTGCAGGTGAGCTGGCACATTCAATTTGTTATTGTTTACAAATGAACATTTAAGTGTAAAACAAAGAAAAAGATGAAATAAAAATAATTAAAAACTCCCGTTTCCTCTCATTGCATTGAAATTCACATTGCATTCAAGGGTCCTTGCTGCAGTGCTACATGTCATGAGACGGGTGGGGAAATGTGGGCAGCAAAGCAGAAAATGACAGTGCAGAAATGAATCCCCCCCCCGTCCCTCTCCCTCCCTGTGGGCTGTTTGTGATGCAGTACCTGTTGGGTGCTGGAGGCAGCGTGTCTGGAGGCGGTGGACATGCTGCGGGGGGTTTTGATGAGCTGCGGCACATGTTATTATCAATGGGACCACTCCTAGAAATGGACAGCAACATGCAACATGATGATGACTCACAGCTACAGCGACTCTATTGGCTGGCAGAGTCAGACACGAACCAATCCAAAGCCAGAACGAGCTGAACAAACTACATTACTCACTAATGTTTAAGCAAAACCCAGACCTACCTTTAAAACACTTTTCTTGTCACAGACTATTGTTTCTTTATGTGGAGGAAGACTATGGGGGGGAAATACAGCTGCAATATGCCACCTGCTGGTCGAACAGGTTAACTGAAGGTGTTACTAAAAGATCCTCTCTGCTAGTCACAAATACGTATTGACAGCCAGAATGAAACGTGAATACATAGTGTTGCTGTAAACAGTGCTTGGTTGTCTTATACACCACACTAATCATTAAAGGACATTCTGTGTGATTTCAACAGTGGGCTCCTAACTTATAACCGATAAATGGAAAATTGAAAAGGGACTGAAGGCTTCTCACACACACACACACACACACACACACACACACACACACACACACAC